ATAATTGAGAGCATATTGTAAGGACATTGGTATAGTGATACCATAGTTCAACATAGTTCACTCTAACCAAATCTGATAGTCATTACTAATACTTCTACTTCTTTGTATTATATTTCTGTTGTAATATATATTTGTGTTCCATACCTGTGTTCGTGTTATTCTTTCATTGGTTCTAACCTTGGACCATCACAATGGTATAAGTAATTTGGACCATAACAAGTGGCGACGAGGATGAAATAATTGAGAGCATATTGTAAGGACATGGAATAGTGACACTTGTCGAGACAACATAGTTCACTCTAACCAAATTTGATTGTCAATACTAATACTTCTATTTCTTTGTATTATATTTCTGTTGTAATATATCTTTGTATTCCATACTTGTGTTTGTGTTATTCTTTCATTGGTTCTAACCTTGGACCATCACCGTGGTACAAGGAACTTGGACCATAACAATAAGTGTGCTGAAATTAAGTTTAGAAAATATGATGATAGTGGTCCAAAGAAAAAAAAAAGAAAAATGAAGATCATTTGGTACACACCCATATTTAATCAATTATTCAGTACTAAGTTAGGCTATGAATTCCTCCATTTGATTGATAAACATTTTCCTAAAAGTAACCCTCTTAGTAAAATATTTAACAGAAACATATTAAAACTAATTTATAGCTGCATTAATAATCTTGAGAAGATTATAAAGTTATACAATAATAAAATTTTAAAGCACTTTAATAATCTGGACCATAATACACGTACCAAGATAAATAATGATATTGGCCAATGTAATTGTAGGAATTCTGACCAATGCCCATTGCTAAACAAATGTTTAACTAAATATCTTGTTTATCTTAGTAATATCCCTATAAAAGAGAATTCAACGGTTGAAAAATTCTATATTAGTAGTACTATGAATTCTTTTAAGATTAGGTGGTATCAACATATCTTGTCCTTTACCAATACTAATAACAGAAATAATACGTCACTTTCCAAATATTTTTGGAGTTTAAAAGATGATAAGACACCTAAGGTGAAATGGATTTTTTTAAATGGAAAGTACAGGTAGGTCTTTATATGAACTCTGTTTTCTGTGTTTACATGAAAAACACGAAATCGTCAGATTTTTTGACAGAAGTGAACAGTAAATTGTAAGCATAGTTTGCATTTTAGCTTACAATTTAGTTAAATTTACAAATTTAATAATGCCTTTTCCTATATTTTACCTTTCTATTTACTTTTTCTATAATATAATTTTGTATTCATTTCCTTGTAGTATTGGTAATATCTTTGTATGTATTGGTATTTGGTGGCTATTTCTGATATTTTTCATTGATTGTTTAATGTTCTTAATATCTTGTATGAAGGATCATTATTTAACAGTTAATTGATCGAATAATTCTATATATTTAAATTATTTACTAGTTTCTTAAAGCTATTTATTTATCAATTACAAAAAATTATGTGGGAAATTCACAAATCATATAACTTGTTTAATATTATGTTGAATTATTTCTCCACTCCATTTTTATTTTTTAGGAAATTGCATTGTCTGTTTTGTATAATGAATGCAACCATTTGTATCCGCTTTAGTTTATGTAAAGTTGTCGTTAGCTTCCAATCTACGTGTCATGACCTATTTATAAAAAAGGGTGTTTAATGAAATCGTTCATTCGCCAGTAATTTACAATCGCCTGATGAGATGTATTGATACGCATCGAAACACAACTGCAGTTGTATAGCGATTTTTACATGTTTTCGGCGTAATATTCTAATATATATATATATATATATATTAAGACATTTTTATGTTTATACATTTTTTTTATAGATGCAAATATTTAAGTAAATGCTCTGTTTTATAATAAACAGTATTAAAAAACATTTACCGGCCTGAATGTCCGAGAAATTTTCACAGATTGTCGAACTTTGTTCATTTCATAATGTGTGACGTCATTTGTTTACATTTGATACGCCATGAGCAGATATGAATTTACTTGAGAGATTCATAGAAGATTGAAGTTCAAATACAGTAAATTCGACCTTGCCAACCAAACGCTCCTCTGTAGCCAAATCGGTTAAGGCACGCCAAGCTAAATGACGATTCCGTATAGGGTACAGGTTCGTATACTGTCGGAGGACGAAGATTTTCTGTGAAATATATATATATATATATATATATATATATATATATATATATATATAGTTAATGGTCAGAGTTAAATTAGACCAGGAAATTGTAGTACTAAAAAAGTACTCAGTACACATATGAATAGATAAAAGTTTAACATGTAGAGCTTTTAAGTATTAAAAATTATGAGATCAGCCGATTCCACTACCTTGGTTTCAATTTTTTGGTATCTTCAGACGATTTCGGTCAATTGATTTTTTTTAAATAAAAATTAATGAACATTATATTTTAAAAAAATTAAATAAATGAATAAGCGCACGACCTGATGTGTAGTAGGTGTGAAGGAGGAGGGGAAAAATCAATTGTATTTGAAATGTATCAGTGAGGGATTAATTGAAATGTACATACTTTCTTTTCATCCCACTTCATATGAAGTCAACAAAATCTTTTAAAACTTAAAAAAAATAAGAGTTCATAATTTTTTTTTTAAATAAACCGTAAGGAAATCAGTTGACGGAAATCGCCTAAAGATGCCGAATAATGGAAACCAAGGTTGCGAAATCGGCTATTTCTCTTATATATATATATATATATATATATATATATATATATATATATATATATATATATATATTGAGTTGACCTATTGAATAGGTCATTGTCTGATCCTTACTACCTCCTTCCTCAATATTAAGTATTATAAACTGTAAACTCAACCATGTCTCTCAGACCACCCTCTATGTCAACTTATATAAGCTTAATACTGCCCGTCAAAACTATAATTTTAAATTCCTTTTTCGTTTCACCTTTTGAAAGTTGATTCTGAAGATCCAGAGCAAAATAAAATTCTCTGGGGAAATAAATTATTACAATGAAGCCTTGAAATGGTTTGTTTTTCTTTAAATTAAATTATTCAGTTTGACATAACATTGAGATCTCAGGATTTCATTACATATATATATATATATATATATATATATATATATATATATATATATATATATATAGAGAGAGAGAGAGAGAGAGAGAGAGAGAGAGATGTTGTGGATTCCGTGAATGGAAAAATAAGTGTATTGAACGTAAGAATACAGACTTGAAGTGAAGATTAGTAGTCCAGGAATGCGGGTTAGTAGAAAGTATATGTACAAGTCTCTGTAAGTAAAGCCACAATCTCTCCACGACCACTCAGTGCGTGATGTTATATATATATATATATATATATATATATATATATATATATATATATATATTGCAGTTATTTTCTCACCGACGTGATGTGGTGTGGCTTCCCTCTGTCTTCTACAAAAATCTTCAAGGCAGCTGCTCTGATGAGCTTTTTACATTGGTGCCCCGACTACATGAATTTAAGCGTGCTACTAGATTGGCCTCTACTTCTCACACTTTGAAATGTAACTTGCACTTATAGTCTAAAGGTTTCTTTTCGTGCACTTCCTGCCTAAGGAACTCTGTTCCTCTTCTTGCTTCGCTGATAACTATAACCTTCAAAAATTTAAAATGCAACTTCAATCGCCATCTTCTATCTTCTTGAATCCCGTTCATCTTCCATTTAAACTTTATTTTAAAAAAAAAAAAAAACTATTATGTAAATATTTGTAACTTTGTATAATATTTATGCATTACACCCTAATCTTTATTCGGTAAAAATTCCATTGCTTATCATGCATTACTTTTTAAGTAATACACATATTTATGTCTTTGTTGTTTCCGTTCCTTATATTATGACCGCTACTGAATATATATATATATATATATATATATATATATATATATATATATATATATATATATATATTGGTCAGTGATAATGAAGCCCACACAATACGGCTAATTATCAAGCTTTATTTTAATTTTCACAAGGCCATTGTTTTGGAGGTCCTTGCTAATATGCAACTTATTTTATTAATGTATAGTGTTTTTGACTGTATATCTGAGTGTTATCTCCTACGGTTTTAATTTACTTGATAAACTGACAACGTAAAATATTATATTAAGTACTTTATTGCTCATAAAAGGTAATAAAACCAGATTTATTCAATTCCTAGCTATAAAAATGCCACACTTGCGCCATTATTCATTTAAAACTTTGACAGAGAAGGACAACTTTATGCACTAGCAACTTTGCTCGGTATTTCTGTCGTATATAAATCCATGAGTTTTAATAAGATTAAATATTTATTCTCGCGCTAAGGTTCAGTATTATTAACGCAAAAGCCTTGATATTCAGCAAACTCCCAACGCATTATTGAGTAGTCAGACCACAATCTTCTCTGGTTGTCTAATAATACATGATATTTGTAATAATTTGAAATTGATAAGTTTTAATTAACTAGGTCTTTAATGCAATTATTTAAAATACCTTTTCGTTTTCTTTACCGCATTCAAAACGCTTTTAACTGTTTTATAAACAGTGTAGGAATGCAAAGTACGATTACCTCCTTTTCGAAAAGATGAATGCATATGACGGATGGTGATTTTAGTTTCTACTTAGCACGCCTAGAGGCAAGTTGTGTTTGCCCACGCCAGTTGCTATGTAGACAGCAGAGAAGAAAGATATGACTGTATATTTGAGTTGGTTGCTTTTGCTTAATGGCATATCAACCTCTATGGGTTATTTAATGCCGAAATCTAAATATTTTATACGCAATTTTATTTTATTTATTTTTTATATAATAATGGTTTTAGTGATACAAGTCTTAGTAATTAACCCGTGGCTGGGGGAAAGAAAAGATTGATTCTTACCTTTCCCAATTGTATTTATAGCGAAGTGAATATAATGAACCCAACTGGGATTGGAACTCGGCTCTCAGATTAACAATTCAGAGCTATTTTCCCTTGAACCACCTCACATCCAAGT